AAAAATAAATTCCAAAAAATTTAAGGACTTTTAAGGACTCTTAAGGACCATACGAACCCTGTATGAAGGTTTACCAAAAGTTTCAAAACAAGTACTATGACATTCATGAAGCAGAGCGCTCTGGCCGGCCTACTGATGATAATGAGGCTCCCCTGCGAGAACTTGCGGAAGAAGATCAGTATGCAACCACTTGAGAGCTTGCTAAGGAGTTACGACATTAACTTCTTAGCAAGCCATTAGTCATGCTATGCATTGCATAAACATGACATATAAGTTCAATTGCCAGTTGCTGCATGAACTTATTCAAGCAGGTAAGGATAGACATGTTCGTGCCTGCACTAACCTGCCTGAATATCATCGCAAGGATAAAATGCTGAACTGCATCGTCACATGTGATGAAAAGTGGATTTACTTCAACAACGCAGGACAAAAAGGGGATTGGTCTGCACCCGGTGAGCCTGTTGGCAGCACCGTAAAATGCAATCTAACTAACAAAAGACTGGTGGGATTGCAACAAAAAAAAAAAAAAAAAAAGGTAAAACCCTTTCACAGTAAGGTGTACAGCGAGATGCTAGTCCGTATTGATGCTGCTATGAAGGAAAAACATGAAACCGAGTTCCGGCGCAAAAAGGTAATGTTCCATCAACATATGCAAGACCACATGTGTCTGCATTCAATGGCTGGACTATGTACAGACTCAAATGGGCTCTTTCCCTACACCCACCATATAGTCCCAACATCACTCCTTCACACTTCTACCCTTTTTCATACTTCCAGCTACACCTTGCTGGTGCTTGCTACCTTTCATTCTGCACAGGATGTCCAAAATGAGGTTGATGTTTTTTGGGACTCACAGCTACTAAGTTTATGGGTCGAAGGCTTTGAAAAACTATGATAATGTTACCAGAAAAATCCCAGATTTGGGTGGTGATTACTACCTGTACTACAGGTATTGCTTTCACGTTTTTTTTTTTCTTTTTTTTTTTTCCCCTCCCTCTCCAACTTTATTAAGAACGTTTTTTGGCAGAAAACTTTCATAACAGATGATTATGAACTTTTCAACTTGGAAATTTATCTTTTCTTTCTACAAAAACTGGAAATTAAAAGAACGATCAACTATTAAGCAATTTTCAGCATTCCCTGTCTTCCTCAAACAGATATCTGAATGCCTGAACAAAAATTTCCACCCAAAGCCTGCTAATCTCTTACAATATAATGGATTAATTTAAAAAATTTGAATAACAATTTTAGTATCTTCACAGAATCTTACTCAAAACTGAGATTTGGTTGCATTATTGCCTTACACAAAAACTTAAAATATTTAAGTTTATGTATTAAAGATTCTTTGAACGGTTTGGAACTCTTATCAGGGTTGCCACCCAAACCTGAGAATGAAATTCCCTGACCTTTCCATGTGTGTTTCAAGAGAATTCCAGGCTATCCACATAGCATGTGGTGGCTGTGCTAAAGGTAAACTAATTATGATACCACTTGAAAACAAAAAAATTTGCCAATTACATATGACTTTATATATATATATATATATACACACATGTAATAATAGGAAGGAAAAGATGAAGCAGCAGCGATGCGTAATACCTAGATATCGTAGATCCATATTTAAGATGAAGAAATCTGATTGCATGGTGTGCTAACAATGTTGAGTTCATAATATTTAAGAAACTTGGCAATCGAGGTGATTTTAATTCCATATTTATTTTCCAGTTGATGTTTGTGGCCACAATCACGTGACACTCTAGTCATGCCTATTCAAGAAAATTTACATTTTTTATATTGTTGCGATAGGAACAGAGCAGAATGAAACAGCGTCTAATCAGCACAGAGGCGAAGGCTAAAGTGCATAGTCATCCAATATGAAAGCACACGAAGAGAAAGGTTTTGGTTTGAGTTAAAAGTTTCAGTTTCCAATTATTACGTCATCCATCTAAGATGAAATGATCTAGAAATGATGCAATTCAGAGAAGTTATTACGATTTTTAGAACAGAGAGGGAGAATTAAAGTTTTACCATTAGTTTAAATTATAATTTTGATTTACATATTTTTTTATCTTACATATTGCACCCCCCTTCAAAGAAAAAAAGCCTTTTCAGAAAACAGCATTAAAACAGTAGCAAAACAAGGGAAATATCACAGAATTTTATATTATCTTCACTGAGAATTGAGATTAGGATCTGCCCAATCGGGATTTAAAATATGTCTTTTCTGCAGACATTTTGCAGCTAAAGGAAGTAAGAAATCTATTTAATGATATTTAAAAATAAATTCAAGTACTTTATATTTATTTAGCAGCACACATAAATAAAAAATATTAGCATTAAATTTCGTGAAGGGATGTCAGAATTAGTTTTAATTGTCAGAATTAAGAACGCTAGAATTAGTTCCACAAGTATGCCAGAGAAAATTGCCTGGTATTTAAAAGTATTATTAACTAATAAGTAAAGGACGAAGACACATTAGATGATGTGAAAAACATTAAAATAAAATTAATTACTTAAAGATTAAAAACTGAATTGCAAAAATCGACGGTATTTTGGCAAACACAGATATATTAGATGCTTAGCTTAGATGATCGATTATTATTTTTTTCTTATTTTACTGCAAAATGGCAAGTAAAACATTTAAGAAAGAAGAGGTTTAAAAGATTCTGTTTTATATGAAAATGGGGTGAATTTACTTTCATTCGACATACACTGCACATGTGCATGTGAATCTCTGGTTTCTTGAGGTTACTGGAAACCAAATATGCTGGAAATTTGCTTTGCCTTTCTAAAAGACAATCTGATTGGGAATGCGAAAGTTTGCTCTATGCCAGCTGTTCGAATGAAGCTCACACGATACATGATTTGCCAAGAAAGTGATCACTTCCAATGTTGGCATGAAAAATAACTTTTTTGAGGATCGTGATATGAAATTTGCAGACTTTTACAAATTTTGATTCCCCGATTTTATTCGTCATTTTTCGTATTCTCTGACTTTTCCCGGTTTTTCAGGTAGCATGGCAAACCTGTCTTATGTTAGAATCAATATTCCTTTCAGAATAATCTCTCATTTCTATCATTCATTACACAATATCAACATACCCTTTCCATTCATAATAAAAATCAATATATTTATAGAATGTATTTCACAATCTATCTTTATGTATCTTATATGCAATATATACAATGCAGGAAAGTTATTGAATGCAATTCTAAGATGCACTAAGTATTTGTCTTTTTTGTTTCTTCATTTCCTTTTCATATTCTTCACGTTTTTCTTTCAGTTTTTGAGCCTGCAAGAAATAAAAAGATTTGCTTCTTAGCAACTTAAAAAAATTTTAACTCCTAAAATTATGTTACACAAATCTGATTACAACACAATTTTATACAAATTCATTAGCTACAAATACTTAAATAAACTCATTCAATAAAATATATTTATGACTACAGAGGTTTCTTAAATTTTAAGTTTAAAAATTATTCAGATAAATTTAAAATACAGTTTCAGGTTGTGAGATTGACTTATGTATTTACTGTATAAACTAACATAATGACTCTTAACCAGTTTAATCACATTAATTATAGTTTAACCCTTTCCTGCACGTTTCCTGTAGTTGAAATTTTACCAAAAAAATTCATAGGCAGTCTATTTAGGCCTAAGAGAGTATGCAGGTATAATTTTACAAAGATTGCACAAACCGTTTGTATTTTGTGGGTGTGTCCGAAGCGAACACACTGAGCCGCATGAGCTGTGATAGGTGAGCACTACTGTGAAGCATGTATTACAGTAAAATACTTTGTCTATGATTTAAAAACAGTGGAATCTGATCTCTGTAGCGGATTTAGCATAACCAGGGTGCACCACGGGGAGGCCTGCTATTCTACACCCCAAAAAATGGGGGGGGGGAACTCTCATTGCTTCGGCAATGCAGAGGCCTCTCCGAGCCATTTACACAATTTATAAGAAAAATAATTAAAATACTAAATGTTTACAATAATTATTACTAGAAATTATTAAATATATATACAAATAAAAGCTACAAATCAAAACTAGCAAACTCACACGATGAAAGAGAGAAAAAGGGTCTGCTCTCGCTGACAAATAGCTAAGTGAAAAACAAAGCACGGGGTCTTCAAACCCAAACAGAAAGAATAAAAAAAAATAAATAAATCTGCGCTCTCCCCCCCATGTTTGAGCATCCCAGTTCTGCGGCTCTGGGTCAGGCGCTACCAGTATAGTGTGTTCATCCGAACACCATATACTAGGCTTCCTATACACCAATCTTCAAAGATAAATATTAAAAGTAATACAGAGCAGATTAGCATATGAAAATTATATAAAGATTTTTCATTGATATTTTTTATTAAAAAAATCTGAAACATTTCTTTGAAAAAATGGTCTTTAAAACGAATATATCTCAATGTTAATAATTTGCTTGGGTGGTGCTGCCATCTATTATTCATAAAAGAGATTAAAAGTAATCATTAGTGTAGTTTTCGCGATATTTATCGATTATTTTCAATGTCTAAAGAGGGAATATTTTTTATGTGTTCACACTGAACACTCTGCGCAAGAAAGGGTTAATTGCTCAGTAACTTTTCTTTACTAATTTTAGAAGCAACTAGCAACAATCACAGTACTGTAGAACCTCACTTACTTGAAGTAACTAAGATAAAATTGTTAAAAATCTAATTCTATTAAGTAAATTTTAATGCAGACTCATATAGTTTAGTTTGATGCCTATATCTTTGTATTACGATATAAATAATCTTTTTAAGCACCTTAAAATTAACTTGAAAAATATTACCAAGAAACATATGTATTGTTTTATACAGAAAAAATTCTATTACCTCTCTGTTCTTTCGTCTTTGACCATATACAATTTTATTATATAATCGTTTTGTCTTCTTTGGCATCATCATGATGGCTAATCTTTTTTCTTCAGCAGCTTCTTTTTCTGCAAGTTTTAGAGGATCTTCTTTAGCTGGTATACCTTCAGTGACTTTCATTTTCTTCTGTCCTTCTGTTTTAGCATTTTCAAGTTTCCTCTTCTTTTCATTATCAGTTTCTGGAATATAAAAATTTTAAATAAATGGAAACAGAAATAATCTAAAAAGTAAAGATCAAATTAACAAACTTATAATATTTGAAGTAATGTAATCTTATCAAAAATACATAAAAATGTTGCAAAACACTTCAAATACATAATAGTTTATTACAATACTAGTTTAAAGTAATACAATTTGATAAAATAAATATATATATTCTAAGTTTCAATGAAAATTTTAAGATGATCACAACTTAGCTATAAATTATTATTATATTTGTACAAAATAATGGAATAACTAACAGAATATGAATTTGTAGTTGCACCTATATGAATAAACATTATGAAACACTTGTTACTGATTGACAAAATATTAATTTTACTAAATAAATAATTTCTTATTAAGCTATAATGTTATGCAACATATTTAGAAAATATTTTGTCATGAATTTCTATGCTCTTTTTAAACCTTACTGAAAACGTTTGTGTGTATTATGAATTATTATTAAATGTAAAACTGAATTAATGATTAAAAAAAATAAAGCATGCTATAAGAAAACCCAGTATTTCAACAAACATAACCATATATTATCTTTGTTTAACAAAAACATATACACAAGGGGTTAAAAATAAAGCTATACAACTGTAGTGGAACATAATTTAATGTTTTTATATGATTATTAAGATTTCCTAATTGGCAACGTGACATAATGTTTTTGCATAGATTCGCTGTCTGGCAACGAGGAGTTGAGTTAAAAAAAGTTGTTACTTGGAGTGTTACCTCACGGATTGGAGGAAACAGAGTTCGCCAAAGTCCTCATCAACTTTCTTCTTGCTTAAAAAGCAAGATTGATACAGATATAGATACTTGCAGTGTTCCATGATAAGCATCGTGTAAGCTTTTCTTCTTTAAAGTTTGTTACATTTTTACGTCAAGAAATAAGTTATATGTTGCAAATAAGAATGGAAATCATAAAAATAGATTTCATTTATCCATCAATAACTACACAACCATGCTGTAATTGCTTTACATTTAATTTCTTTTCAGAAGTAAGAGATAAAGCAAATCTGAAAATTTACTGATGATTGGTAACAACAGAAAATAAAAATCAATATTAAAAAAAAAAGGGAGGGGGCAAGAATACAGAAATTTCTTATCTAATAAACTACTAATTACAATAAAAAAATAGAAGCTACTGATGGAAATGCCTTCAATTTTGTAAAATAAAATGTGTAAGACATGGTTATTTGTTTTACATTACCCAACAGCCCCAGAGAAAACACATATAATATGGGGAAAAAGTCCTTATTTTTATGAAAATAATGTTAACCACATTTTATGTATGGCACAGTTATAATCATCTGTGTAACTTGGGACCAAGAGCTGTGCAGGCTAGAGAATTTTGTGGATTAAACATCATATCTTTTCTATATCTAAAATTAAAAAGCTGTTGGAAACAGCAGATCAAAGCAATGTTAGCAATTTCGTTTTCAAAAGAAATAAAGAATGGATGAAAGACAAGTAAAGAATTGATGAAAAGATATGACAGGGTGATGCACAAGTGTCACATCAATTGTTTTGCACATTATGCATTTATTTTTCATCAAAATATTACAAAATATATAAACATAATTGTGAGCATGGAAAGTGAATTTAATACAAAATATGTACAGTCAAAAGTCTTTAATCCAGAATGATCTATAATCTGCACCTCAAAGCTACAAACTTTCTGTGCATGCATGAACACATAATGCGTTGACGCATGCGCGTTTAATTTATAACGGACGGTATAAGCTAAGCTAAAATAATCTATTTCAGTTAATGTTACAGATTGCGTTGTTCTTTAATCTTCTAACTGGATCCAGCTATATTTTTGCAGACGTTAGGCAAATAAAATAACTGGAACTTTCGATTATGTAAAGAAGAATTTCCGATTCAGGCGCAAAACGTTTTCGATGTCCACAAACAAAAAGTGGGGGGTGGGTCGCGCGCACAATGAACTGGAAGTTGATCTGTCAGCAACTATCTTATCTTAGGCGATGTTTTTATTTTATTCGGCTTATAACTTACTAAATGTAGATTTCATCTCGAGTACTCCGTCTTTGATTGATTTAATCAAATCCTCGTCATTATAATACCCGAATACACATCAAATAGTTTTCTGGTTGCAATTTTCTAATTTCGACTATGCATAATGTATGCTTACGCATGCGGGTTGAAAAATGTTAATAAAGTAAAAAAAAAGCTTTTATGTAAATTTTTTTGATACCCTATAGATCTAATTGCTCTTTATTTCATAAATCATTTCATTTTTTTAATTTCCTTCCTGCCATCTACCCAGATTTAATTGATCTCATCGGAATCGCCGAAGTCCCCGACGAGTCGGATTGAAACTTTTGCGTATACTTTACTGAAATCCAGGAATGCTTAATAGGTAATTTTTTGTTTCGGGGAGATCAATATATAGTACATAACTAAATTATCCAGACAATCTATATATTTTTAATTTCCATGTGTTACTCTCCTTCCCTGCTGAGGATTTTCTCAGTATAAAAGCGCAAGAAAATTATTAAATGAAGTTAGCCGAAAAACATAAAATACAGAGTATCTGATTAAAAATTACTGTTTTATATCATAACCATATTATAAATAGTTGAATAACCTCAATCATGAAGTGAATTTAAGTCAGTTCTTTTAAATGATGCTGCTGTGCAACACGAAAACATCCTGTCTATTCATATTTCAAGGTTGGCAGCCATGGATAGCAATTTTTAAATGAAGGTCATCACATATATTTGCAATGTAATATCTAGTTACATTAGTTTTTGAAGGGTGCATTGTGAAATTTTATAGTTTTTGCCCTCAAAAAAGTTAAAATGCAAGAGAGAATACAATGATGTGAACTGAGATTTAGAAAAAAGTGAACTATTGGCTTACAGCAGAGGTTCCCAAACCTATCCTTTAGACCATTTACTGATTGTTTCATAGAGTGACAATAGAATATTACCCTCGAGAGTTCCAATCAGAATGAACTGAGCGTAAAGTTTCACCCAGGCGCTCCAAAACACAGGTGAAGAAAAATGTAGGGAAATCTTGTATGGCAAGTGCGAAATTTAGCTAGCAATGACAGTTGTCCGATGAAATTTTACGTTGTCTAAATAGTTTTGAAATGCTATCTTAATACTATTCATCAACTTCAAACGTGTTTTTGATTTAAATCAAATTCTTTGTCATTATGAATATCATGAATACACATCAAATAGTTTTCTAGTTGCAATTTTCTAATTTTGACTATGCGTAATGTATGCTCTATGCATGTGTGCGTTGAAAGAATGTTTAATAAAGTAAACAAATATATTTTTTTTTTGTAAATTTGATACTCTTTAGATCTAATTGCCTCTTTATTCATAAATTATGGTTTCATATTTTTAATTTTATACTTTCTGCATGCTATCTTACCAGATTTAAATTGATGATCTATAATCCTGAAAAACCGATAATCCGGAATCGTTGAAGTCCAGACAAGTCCAAATTAAAGACTTTTGACTGTATAATTATATGTGCACCATTTTATTTTCAACAAGAGAACCTTTGCATGTGTTATAACCCTCTGGCATGCCTTCCAAAATTGCATGCCACAGATGCACAATAAGTGACTTGAGATGCGCTATATTTGCGAGCTTTCTTGTAAATACCTTATCTGGTTTGTCTCCCATCTTTGTAACATTCAAAACACTGATGTGACAGACATTACACACAAATTAAACACCTCATTCAGAAAACTCAAGAACAGCATACATCATGTGTGGACAGACTCTGTCTTGTATGTGCTACTGAGCGTGTAAAGAAGACTTGTTACCATTTTAAGACCTGTTACATGTTGGATACCATAGGTTCTTAGTCCAACATAGAGCCAGTTACTTCCAATTGCTGACATAATTTGTGAATGGTCTGTTTGCAGGGATCCTTTCTTATACGAAATTGTGCAAGAAAATGTCTTTATGTTGCGACCAAACTCTTCTTCAAAAAATATATCCGATACTGACTTCTGAAACCTATTGGATTTTCCATGATCAACCAAAATACACACATTTAACATTCAATACATAATATTAAAAATTTTAAGGGGTGATTGAATGATATCACTTTTTCTTCACCTGGTGGATCATTCTCATAGCTATACGAGCAAAACTCCTTTTTTGTCCTCAAAGAGTTGCAAAATGATACAGCACACAGTTTGAGATCCAAAATTGTTGGAACTTCAGCTGTTCTGGCTTTTAAATCACCAATTTAAATCTACTAAGATGACAACATGTAGAAATTATAAAATTAAAAATATGAAATGTTTGTTTATGAAATAATGAAGCCTTTACAATCTTAAACAAATCAAAACTTCAGGGAAAAAAAAAAAAATCCTGAGTATTTATTTTTCCTTTGTTTTATTAAACATTTCTTTTAATGCAAGTTGTTTCAGATGCTTCATTTTTAATGCTTTGTAAGTTCCACTGTTGAGTATTCTAACAAAACTAATAGAGTATATTCTTGCCATATTGAATATTCTAACAAAACTATCACATGAAATCTTCTCATTCTCAAAAACTTTTTGTCACTTTCTTCACTACTGGCAGAGATATTTTCTGGATTTAAAATTACACTACAGATTTTGCCATCAATTAGTTAAATGTTGATAGGGGCACTGTCATCACACTGGAAACCACCTGTTGTCTCCACATTTCTTCAAAAATTCTATTAATTGGAAACTTTTGCCCTCTGTAGCATTTAAAATCTCTACCAAATTTAGGTTGTTATTTTGCTTAATTTTGAAATCGCACTTTTTTTATGCCTGACATATGACAACGAGGTTCTTTTTTGTCTTGCCAAGGCTGTTGTAGAAAGCAAGTATCAAATATGCTGCTTTGCAGATCTTGCTACAGCTCCAGAATTAGAAACTCTTTTCAACATAATTGAAAATTCAAGCTTAAATTTTGATAAGGTACTTGTATTAGTAATAGCCTGCAAAATATAATAAGTTGTATAAAATTAGTTAACTACAGAGATATCATTACGGATATTAGTGCAGGAAACATTATCTATATACCAATTTATGATCAGAATTAATTCCTGTAACATAAACTATCATCACATACAATCTTTAATCAAAAACGTAAAAAAGTTGCTGAGTAGTTTACATAAAAAGGGAAAAGAAAGAGCACAGTTTACTACATTAACTGAACTTAAGTTCTTGATCTAATCCTTTCTGTCTTCCCAGCTGTTCAACTAACAAAAGAAAACCAGTATCAGCAAAACTGCTATGTTAGGAAAAGTTCTTTGGAAATAATTCTCATTCTTTTTCCCAGTGCTACACTAGTAAAAAAAAGCCTGTATGAGCAATATCCCAGTACAAACAAATGCTTTGCTGCTGCATTTATAGTTTAGCTCAAACAGAAATGCTAACCACTTGAGCCAAAAGTGGGAATCAATGTACTGTTATTAGCCATGGTGTGATTTTCCTAGTCAGCATGTATTTAAAAATGCCATACAGAAATACCAGGTTAGGGGAAAAAATAAAAATAAAAATATGCTGCGTATCTTTTTTTTTTTTTTTTTTAAGGATTATACTTGCTATTTCTAAATTTTGTAAAAAGGGGGGGCAGGCCTATGGATATCATCTACTGCCTATACACTGCTCGACATTGAAAATGCAACACCAAAAAGGAGTGATCAGAAACTTATGCAAATTTTAGAGTAGACAGACGTCACTGAGTTATGCGAATGATGTGAAATGTGCAGCTCTCCAACGCACGTGAAGTAAGATATAAGGCAAGGAACGTGCAGAATGGGAAATATTCGTGTCGTTATTTCTGCCAGACGAATTATCGAGGAAAGTTCGTTTTTGTCCCGGAGGATATGTGTAATAGGAGAGAATGCCAGACTGCCATCAACGAAGGCACTTCCAGCAGATACATGATTTTACGAAGGGTGTGGTGATTGGGCTGAGAAGGGAGGGTTGGTTCTTACGTCAAATCACAGCTGATACCCACATGGATGAGAGCATGGTGCATCGGCTATGGTAAACATAGTTGGAACAAGGAAATGTGGGAAGAAGGAGGGGTGCAGGTGCAGCCAGAGTGATGTCAGCACATGTGGATCAACGCATCCGCCGACAAGCTGTGGCAGTCACTTGTACCACAATTCTGCAGCATGTGCAAGATACCCTGGATGTTCCCGTGTCGAATAGAACCATTCATTCGTCAATTGGTTAAACGTGGCCTGCACTCACGGTGTCCGTTAAGAAGACTATCATTGACCCCACAGCATAGACACCAATGTTTAGAATGGTGCCAGACTGGAGCGATGTGAATGACAGAATGGCGAAACGTCGTGTTCTCAGATGAGTCACGCTTCTGTTTACCTAGTGACAGTCGCCGCATATGTGTGTGGCGTCGACGTGGAGACAGATCTAATCCGGCAGTAACTGTGGAATGCCCGACAATGTGGCATAAAGGTTTAGGGCGCTATTGCTTACGATTCCAGGTCACCTCTAGTTCGTATTCAGGGCACTATGACAGCCCAACGATGCTTGGATAATGTATGGCAGCCAGTGGCAATCCCCTACCTTCAGGGGCTGTCTAATGCAATTTTTCAGCAAGATAACGTTTGACCACACAGTGCTCGCATCTGCCAACATGCTCTGCAATGTATACAGATGCTTCCCTGGCCACCGTACTCTCCTGACTTGTCACCAATCGAATATGTGTGGATTGTGATTGGACGCCGTTTGCAGACTCTGCCCCTGCCTCGTTCAGAAGACGAACTATGGCAAGTGGTTGAAAGGGAATGGAGAGCCATCCCTCAGGACACCATCCACACTCTTACTAACTCTATGCCTAGATGTGTTTCTACGTGCATAGCTGTCCGCTGTCGTCCTACATCCTACTGAGCCAACGCGGTTCTCGCTCTGTATTCTATCAATTTGAAATAAAGATTACTTATTGCTGCTTGCTGTCTCTGTCATTTTTCAAATTTCATCACTTTCTGACCACTCCTTCTTGGTATTGCATTTTCAATGTTGAGCAGTGTACATATTTTTAGTCAAATTATGTACATTACTAAAAAAATGGGTTTCCACAATTAAGAATTAACCTATTGTTTATTCTAAATTATACATATGAATTTTGTAGATGATACAGACATAATGTGCTTACTATCTCTGAATTTAATTTTTGTACACAATCAAACTAGATCACCATGATAAATGTTAAACATGAAACTTGATTCAATACCAAAGCAGATTTTTTACCAGTACAGTAATTAAGTATGTAGACAGCTGTGAATCATTTTATCCATGTCACACACACACAAAAAAAAAAGTCACTCTTTTTTTATCGATCACTTTCTATATTTTATATTGACATATCATAAAAACTGTAATACATTAGTTCCTTATGTATCAAAGATATTCTACAAGTTTGGGGAAGGGGCATTATTGACTATCTTACTTTTATATATTTGGAGATGGAAAACATTTTCATTAACTTTAAACTAAATAGGTAATTATTTACTTTCAAACATAAAAGCACAAATGTAAATGTGACTTTGTTTATTCATTATGCAATAGGCAGAAAGAATGTGGCAAATGATTCATGAAAATTCAGGTTTCTCACTTTATTAAAGAGGTAGTAAAGTGCCCAAATCTTTAATGTATATCTCTTCCACATTTTTATTTTTAAAGAAATGTTTCATGACTTTGTAAGTAAAAATCTAACAGTGCTAAAAGAATAATGTGTTTTCATTTTATTACATAAGGTGGTTAAAAAATCAATCAAATGAGAAAGAAACTATACTTAGAATTACATACGCAAAAAAAGGCCGGGAAACAGAACAATGATTGAAAAAGACAATTTATATTGGGTTTGTTTAATTAATATAAATATATTCATATTAACTGAATAGAGGAATGACTGAAAAAAGCAATAAAGGATTACAGATTATGGTTTTCTCATTAACAATATTATTAGCATTTTAACAAACCTTTATCTTCTTTTTCTTCATCAGAACTATCATTTCCGGATAATTCTTCATCAGATGATTCTATAGGTCGCCGTATACCTAGAATTTAATTTCATTTGCAGAATTAAAAATAACTTTCCAAAATCTTATTACTGTTTTAGCAAATTATTTAATGCAAGCATAAAAAGGTGCCATTCAGAAATATAATTTACAAGAACTTTAAAACAGGGTTGCCACTCAAACAGGAGAAAGAAATTCTCTGCCTTTTCCACATGTGTTTTAAGAAAATTCGTCTATCTGCATAGTGCACGTTAGTTGTGCTGAAAGATAAATTAAATTATGATACCACTTGAAGAGACACAAATTCGCCAATTACACGTGACTTATCCTCAAAGCATTACTATTATAACTACACTGGTGTGCAAAAATTAAGGACGAACTCGAAAAATTAGCATATCAGCTGAACGAAGAGGCAGAGAGAACAGAAAGACCAATCAGGAGATTAAGTAAGGTGATGTACGGTAGCACATGCGCAGATATGCAGGTAGACGTAATGGGGGAGTGTCTGAGTAGTATAAAGCATGCTGTCGGTGTAAGATCAGTATTTCTGGCAAAGAGATTGCACGCCGTATAGCAGTTAAAATCACACCGAGTTGCTGCCTCAGCGAGAAATGGCGAATAATCAATCATCTGTTAGACGACATCTGGATGCTATTACCCGAGGTCGAATCATTGGGAAGTTGGAGGAAGGCCGCAGTGTGACAAGTGTGGCTGCAGAGTTTGGAATTGCTCACAGCATCGTTTCACGACTTTGGAGACAATTTTAAACTACAGGAACAGCTATCCGGGGGTTTAGTAGTGGTGGTCCACGAGGAACCACACCCGCAGATGACCGGTATATTGCCTCACAGGCCAGAAGAAACAGGCGGCAGACAGCGGGAGAAATCGCTAGACACACGACACAGGCGACTGGACGACTGATTACGCATTTTACCATGGCCAGAAGACTGCACGGTGGTGGTCTGTTTGCACGACGCCCTGTACGGTGTGTACCTCTAACGCCTGCCCATCGGAGACGGCGTTCTCTGTGGTGCCGGGAACACCGGAATTGGAGACCTTCCCATCTTCGACGCAGGTTCAGTCAACGGGACCCGTTATTGTAACGAGATTCTTCTTCCATATGTGCGTCTTTTTAGAGGCGGATGTATGGGATTTTCTAGGCAGACGCTTGGCAGCTTGTACCTTACCACCAATAATGATTCCGGAGCTTCGATTGGCGCTGCAAGACGAATGGGCAGCAATGCCTCAACAACTCATTGACACCCTCACTCTCAGCATGGGCAGGCGCTGTGAAACCTGCCTAGCAGTCAGGAGAGATCATATCCCCTATTAAAGACCGGATGCTTCTTGCTGGACACCCATCACAGGGATGTTTTGGCCTTCAGTCGCATTGCGCTCCATGCTACTTTTTCAATAGAGCTTCTTTTTATCCTTCTGATTTCTCTTTTAGTATGTGTTGCTTACATTACTCATGTCCTTACGTATTGGGGATCTTACGGTATTAAATGTGTTGATTTGGAAAGCTTTTGTACAAAGTTATATTGAAAAAACCGTCTCGTCCTTAATTTTTGCACACCAGTGTATAATAGGAGTTGTTTTCTCCATTGGAGATTGAGATTAAAATCTGCCATCTGGATTAAAAAAATGTCCTTTTTTGCAGACATTTTGCAGTTAAACGAAAGAAAGAAACCTGTTATTGATATTTTAATACAAATTCAGGTGTTTTATATTTATTTAGCAGCATGCATAAGTAAAAAATGTGAGCATTTCGTGATGGTAAGTTTTCGTTGCTGAATTTAGTAGCAACATCTTTATGACAAAATTGTTGTTTGACAGAATCATGGCTTTATTTATATTTTTCGATTGTTTAATTGAAATTGGATTTTATGGAACATTTTCAAGCGTTTCAGAATTTTTTAATAAGTTTTTTAGCATTTTATAATAATTTTATTATTTTTTTATTGCAGATTAATTTTAATAACTAAATATTAAGTGATTGAAGAAATCTTAAGAGTATGTCGTGCGGGAGTGGAAGATTCTGAATCCCGGTTATCACTGTAAGACCATGATAATGCAGCGTATACTATGCCATTTCAGTTGTAAAGAAATTGGTGGAAAGATTTGAAGCAGTGGTGTCAACATTGAACTTGAAATATCATACTGTTAGAATTAGTTTCAGGAGTATGCCAGAGAAAATTGCCTGAAATTTGAAAGTATTATTAACTAATAATAAATAAATTTAGAAGGAAGAAGACACATTAAATGATATGAATAACATTGAAAATAAGTTAATTACTTAAAGATTAAAAACTGAATTACAATAACTAATGATATTTTGCGAATATAGTTATATAAAAGGGTTAGCTTGGATGATTGATTACTATTTTTTATTTTATTGCAAAATGACAAATAAGGCATTTATTAAAAAAAAAAAAAAAAAAAAAGAGAGAGAGAGAAATTTGTGGTAAAATTCTACAATAGGCCTTAGCATCATTTTGAAAATTGTCACCAACACCAAAACGGCCATCCGTTTACTGCTCATCATAAAGTCGCAGAATCCCATGTGTACCGTATACTAGAATTAAACCAATTTTGTCTTATACAAGAATGGGAAGGTGCTTTCTTTTGTTTAACGTGCACTGCACATGTGAATCTCTCGATTCTTGAGGTTACTGGAAACTTGCTTTGCCTTTACAAATGACAATCTGACTGGAGCTGCGAAAGTTGGCTCTACACCAGGTGTCCAAATGACGCTGATGTAATACATAAAATTCGCCTAGAAAGTGATCGCTTTCAATGTTGGCATAATAATAGTTTTCTTTTTTTGGGGGCGGAGCGGCATATGAAATTCCCTGACTTTTCTAGTCAATTTTCGAATTCCCTGACTTTTTCCGGTAGCACGGCAACCCTGTTAAAAGCTAATAGCTAACATAAGTAATAATAATGATAAAAAAAAAAAAAATTAAGTGAATACATTTTTAAAAATATACATACACACTACATTCATATTAGTAATGAAAATTTAAGGAAGGCATAAAAGTTAACACTTTTTAATACACACCTTTGATTATTCCATTTTGTAGATCAACGAGAGCTTTTTTCTCAGGGGGCACATAATCTCCTTCTTTTTCTTCTACAAAAGGAGACAAATGAGGAGGAAGCACTTCACCAGGGAAATATAATTCAACAGGAAGTAACATTCTCGCATTTACACTATCGTACACCCACTGAGGTTGAACATAAATCCTGAAATGTAATAAATAATAGTAATCATATTATTCATTGAAAATAATTTCCATTGTCTTTGATTTTAATGACCAACTATTTGTCAGCCTTTTATAATAAATCATAGTGCCATATATTTAGCTGTATAAGAAAAGCTCCCCAGATCAGCTCTGGAAGTGTGGCAACAAATGGCACAGAGGGTTGCACTTGCAGTTATAGTAACCTTCAATGCTGACAAAGCATTGCAACAAGAAAAACTGCCGAGTTAGAATGGGAGTTGGTTATAGAATTATTTTATAACCACCTATAAGTAGCACAATCTAATTATATAGATGAGAGGTCTCCAACCGTTTGTCCAAGAGCAGTGTTGCATTTGCGAATGGTTTCAGCCGAGCTTACTGCTGTGCGACTATAATAAAAAAGTTATTGAAATCAATACAATGATATGAATTTTTTTTTTAAATTAAAGAAGCATAAATGCGCTTGCTTTAAAAAAAAAATATTGGTTATAATATTTATCTTTTAAAATACGCTTACTAGATGTCCTTGTTATCATTGTATTGCTGCCCAAATGGAATAGTGGTTAATGAAGCTTACAAATACCGCAGGGCCTGGGTTCAAATCCCAAGAAGGCATGGATGTTTGTAATCATATAGTATCTATGCAGCAAGGAGGTACTGAAAATACATGATGAGCTAAAATCCTCTGAAGAGACTGATGGTAGGCAAAGAGGGATGGGAGATCCTTAGACTGCCCTCCAGGGTATTCTCTCTTTGAATTCCTAAACTGGGATGGGAGCTTGTCAATTAGTTATGTACACCAATACCCCAATCATCTATGGTACTACAGAGGTGCTGGCCTAGCTTCTACCTGTATTTATACTATTGTACTGCATGCTAAAGGTCTCAAACAAGCAGAACATAGCAGCTGAAGCAATTTTATGTGACGTATGAACATATTTTAACAGGGTTGCCACTCAAACAGGAGAATGAAATTTCCTGACTTTTCCAGGCATGTTTTTAAGAATGTTACAGTCTATCTGTGTAATGCACGTTGGCTGTGCTAAGAGATAAATTCATTATGGTATTACTTGAAAACACAAAAATTTGCCACATATATATAAATGATCCCCAAAGCATTACTATTATAACTATAATAGGTGTTCTTTTCTCCACTGAAGATTGAGATTAGAATTTCCGGATTAAAAAATGTCTTTTTTTGCAGACATTTTGCAGTTATACAAAAGAAAGAAATACATTTAATGATATTTTTAAATAAATTTGGGTATTTTATATTTATTTAGCAGCATACATAAACAAAAAATATGTGCATTAAATTTCTTGATAGTAAGTCATCATACTGCTAGAATTAATTTCAGGATTATGCCTGAGAAAATTTCCTGAGATTTGAAAGTATTATTTACTAATAATAAATAAATTTAGAGAGAAGAAGCAACATTAAATGATACGAATAACATAAAAATAAAGATAATTACTTAAAAATTGAATTAGAATAATCAACAATATTTTAGTGAATATAGTTATACTAAATGGTTAGCCTAGATGACTGATTACTATTTTTTATTTTACTGCAAAATGACAAGGTATTTATTTAAAAAAAAAAAAAAAAAAAAAAAAAAAATCGGTAAAATCCTAATACAGTACAAAGTTCAAAATCCGGAATCGCCGGATTTGGGATTTTTCTGGATATTAGATCATCAGTTTAAATCTAGTAAGATGGCATGTAGAAATTATAAAATTAAAAATATGAAAGCGTGATTTATGAAATAATGAAGTATTTATGATGTAAAGGGTATAGGAAATAAAAAAAAAAGTTTAATATTTATTTGTTCACTTTATTAAACATTTCATGCAATGTAAGTTGTGTAAATTGCTTTGTTTTTTTGCGGTAATACGTTCTCTTTAATTCTATACACAGACATAATCTCTTGTTTAGTTACATTGTTGAAGTCCTGTAGCTTCTATTTCGACTAACTTGTCAATCGAAATTTTCTCGTTTTCAGTAACTTCTCTGTCACTTTCTTCACTTCCGGTAGCGGTATTTTCTTGATTTAGAACCATACTACAGATTTCGCCATTCATTAACTGATTGATGATTGAGAAGCATTGTCATCACAATGAAAAATTTCTTTTATATCATCTTCATTTATTACTGCTTCTCCACATTTTTTTCCAAAATCGTGTTAATTGAAAAATTTCACCTTTTTTTTTTTTGTGATATCTGTAAACCTTTAAAATTAGCGACTATCATCATCAAATTTAGCTATCCTTCACTACATATTTGGCTATGCATCATGAGGTTGGCGACTAACAAGTTGTTCCATTAAATTTTATCTTGCTTCTATCGTGCACTGAGACAATTAAGCCCGGATTGCCATTAGTTTAGTTATTTATTATATTTATGTCTATTTCTTACACATGCTTAAGGCTTATCAGAGTTCTGAATAAATAAATTCCCACCATATACTTACGCCTTATTGAGGGTCGGCACTAGATATCTTACCGCCTGATGCAGTCACTGTGGGTCCTAAATTCTGCGACTCGATGTGGCCACATGAGCCCTGGCGCTGGTTCTGGGTTTATGTGAATAAAAAATCAGTTATTCTTAATTTAAATAGTCCTAAATGTAATCTTTGGGTCTATGAGTATCATCAACAAAATCTATTTTTAGTATATGGAAAGAAATTTTTGGCAAATTTCTTCCCATCAACATTTTTTAGCACATTTAACTTAAACCTGTAATCATCTATAATCATCAGCAAGCATAATGTCAACATAAAAGGTTACCGCACTCCTTTATTATTCAATTACTAACATAAAAAAAAAAAAAAAAAAATAGGCATTGCTACACGAGTCATTACTCAAGTTGCCATGTTTTGATAAACATGTGGTGATGAAAGGAAAGCATAACAAATAATGATTCGCCAGGTTGGCGTCAGATCAACGATGTATCTATGTGGAATGTTTCAGTTTGAGATGTGTTCCAAGCAGTTACGTAGCAATGGAGCCAAATTACTGATTAATAAAAATTTATGCAAAAATGATTGCTTCTTCAATTACACGGTATTTTATTTAGTGTCGAAGTGAAAATAAGAATCAGGACTCATGCGCGGAGGGGGAAATCAAATGCAGATGCGTAAAGCCTACGAGAAAACGTTGTTGGTGTTTTGAGGTCCAGATTTTAGATCATTTTGGATAATGGAAGTCCGGATTTCGGACTTTGTACTGTACTATATGGTGGCCTTGGCCCGATTTTGAAAATAATTGCCAACTCCAAAATGACCCATTTACTACCCATCATCATGTTGCCAAATCCTGTAACATGGAGTTTAGAATAGAATACATGAAGGCTTTTCTAACCAAAGAAGGTCTATGCAAAGAAGAAAAGGTTCAATAGACGTAATGCTATTATGGCGCTACAAGGCGGAGAGAAAATTTGCCAAGGGACTTGGCGACGGAATCTGACGGCAAGAATTTCCCTCTTCACGATCAGGAGATAAGGAACAAGAAGAAACATTGTTTGACCTTTCACAATAATTGAACACGTTGAGCGCCGTGGCTGACACTAGATTTTCCGTTTAGGCCGCGTCAGCCGTCTGTGGCTGACACTAGACTTTCCGTTTAGAGCACATCAGCCATCTGTGGCTGACACTAGACTTTCCGTTTAGGCCGCGTCAGCCATCTGTAGCTGACACTAGACTTTCTGTTTAGGTGGCGTCGACCGCCGCTGGCTGACAGCGTGTAGCATGATATATAACTATACAATTTACACTGTTTTATGGAATTACAGAAAAATTATTTAAAATTTACTTAATTTTGATTCATTACAGGACTAATGGATTTCATTGAAACACGGTAAAAGCATAAAAACTGTTCTCCATTACAGCGATTACAAATTGTGACAACTGTCTTAGTCTTTTTTCTGGCCATTACTTTATCAGCTTCAGTTGCATTTTTATCATAACATAATTTACAATATTTCCGTACTTCAGAGGCTTTTTCCGGTTTTCTTTGGAGTTTATGCTGTCGTTTTTTAAATATTCTTGCATTTCTGTTTGACGGAATATCTTCTTTTTCACAACTTGTAAGGGGTAGTGCTTATTCTTTCCGGACTTCAGTAATGCTAATTTTCTGCTTTGTAATATCTTTGCATAGAATGTAACTATTTACAAAAGAGACTTGGAGCGTAACGTGTTGAATGAATGCCTATAGGAATCACGTTCCAAACATACACTATTTCCAAACATACACTATCTTCTACTGCGATAAAAATTGTTGGCCCTACAATGCTAGCGCTTTTAAGCACCACGCGTGGCCTGAACGGAATTGCCTAAGAAATACGCTTAGCGCTCAAGGTGTTAAGCACATATCCTTTACCGCAGTTTATTTTTTTTTGGTGGGAAGGGTTTCAAAATAACCAATCCATTAATTAATTTATTTCCATGAAAAAATATTTTCTTTTCCTTTAAAGTTTAAAGAAATTTTAAAGGAACAGAAAAAGAATTTGAAACGATATTCAATTTGTGAACTCTTGATAGCGTGACCTTCGAACTTCGGACACCGGCTTCGAGCTTTGGCAACAGGTATTTCGCGTATGCACAGCTGTTTCCCTCTACGTTGGAACAAAGCCACTGAATGCTCAGGGTGGGTCCAGAGGAAAAACTAGGAGGTGGAGTTTTATACGAGAATAAGTATTTTGTTTAGTTTAGCATGCACTGCACATGCCGATTCTCGAGGTTACTGGAAACTTGCTTTGCCTCTTTTAAAAGATAATCTAATTGGAGCTGCAAAAATTGGAATGATGATTTAGAGAAAATGATGTATTGAAAACAGATTTTATAATATCGGCAACAGTACTTTCTGCAAGCGTTTTCACTATAGCAGTTTTGGCAGGACTACAGATTAATTTTTTTGCTATGGCAGAATCAGGAAACATTGCTTTGAAAAGCTCTTTGGAATGATTCGAAACAGAAAGCGGTAGATTATATTCAATTAAAAACTGAACAAAATAGCATTCGGCTTTTATAGGATCTGTTTCATCATCTTTTATTAAGAAATTTGTTATTTCTTTAGATTTTACAGTGCTAAGTTCTATGTGCTTTTGAAAAAAAAAAAAAAAAAAAAAAAAAAAGCCATTTACAGTCATCTTTTCTGCCATGTGCAACAGAGAAGTCTTTGTTGCATACACTGCAGTGTGCATGATTCACAGAAATTTCGGATGCTTTAATTCATGGAAATTCCAAAGAATACGAATTTTTATTTCATAAAAAATTTAAAATTTCTGCTTTGATAATTTTGGCTTCTTCGTTCGAGGTAGCATTATTAAAAAAAAAACTTTCACTTGAATCACAGTTCACAAGACACACTAAGCTCTCTCCGTAATCTAAACAATGGAGCCGAATGTAGCCTTAAACACGTAGCAGCAAGGAACCTGGGAGACAGATAAAGTAGAGACATAGAATGTCTATGTACAATACAAATTCTTTGGTAGAGATATGTTGTGGGGTAACTATTGACAAACCATTAACGGTTGAAGTTACTGATCTACGACTGGCTATTCTTCAAAAACAGGAACGCACTCAACACGTGATATATGATGACACGAGTATTCAGCCAATCATCGGATGAGTTAGTTGGTTCCGTTCATGCGTACTGGTTCTCATGCTCTGTTTCTGTAAAATCCGTAGTTTTTTCCATACTTTTCAGAGCTCATAGTTTTTCATGAATTTCCGTAGAAACTACGATGATGGTGTGGTGTATTGAGAATACGGCAAAGCACACTAGGGCTATCTGCCTAAGGGGAGGGATGACTTCCTGGAGGACTTCCTAAGAGAAATTGGCTTGTATACACATTACACATGGGGAAAACCACGAAAGCGCCCATGCAGCCAGATCGTTCATGGGATTCAAACCTCGGACCGAACTACCAGTGTTCAGCGATTTTACCGCTCGGCCACTGGTGGGCCCGGTAGAAACTACAGAGAACCAGAAGTTGTAGGAGTCTATGTATTCAATGTATTAAAACAAATACATAATTGAAATGTATTGGTGGCTTGCATAAAATTACTTCAAGAGCATGCTCACATGAAGAAGTTTTCACTGTATTTTACTCTACAACTGTCTAAATTAACAAATTTTGAAACTGATTATCTTGAAAGTCATATCATTAAAACATAATATATTACGAATGAATCGTTTCAATCTTATCTTCATTATAAATTAATCACATAATGTATTAATAATTAAATGCATATCAGATACATTTATAATTAAAAAAAAATATTTACCTGTTTGCATACTGCTTTGTTAAAGTTGGCCGATCAATAATGTGATGTGTTATTGATTCATCTGATTCATCAAACGTAGCTCCAACAAAAAGTGTTTTATCAAATGACACTTCTCCACCAAAACATCTAAAATATACAGCAAAATTAACACACATTAATATGAGGGGGGGAGGAGGTCCTTAAGAATTTATTTATTTATATATATTATACAAACCTTATAATAAATACTAAAGATTCTTTAGGTACTTCACGATTTAAAAATATTTTACACCCAGAGAATAAATTTTTCAGCTTTTTTATTTTTTCTTCATTTGCTTTATGGTCTCTTATTTCATCTGTATCATCAGTCTAAGAAAAAGAAAAAATTTACATCTAAAAAAATTAATAAAGAAAAAAAATTAATAAAGGAATGTGTGCAAAAAATATTTTGCAAAACATTCTCAAAATAAATATGGTTCTTAAATAATTAGAATATTATCACTAAAAAACTTACGTCCAAAGGTTTTTTTTTTTTTTTTTTTTTTAATTTTTGTTTTGTGTGTTACTTTTATTTATTAAATATTATTTGCACTTAAACCATAAAATTCAGTTCAACAGCAATGTTACAAAATATTTTTAAATTGAGCATATCTTTAGAATTTTTGACACACAGTTCTGCACGCTGGATATAAAAATGTTCCCTTCCCATAGAGTTTTGCAATTGCTTGCTTTTAAATTGTTATGTTTGTTAATCAAAAATTCGTTAAGTTTTACAAATTATTAAATTGGTAATAAAACAAATTCCAAATTTCAAATTTGGGCTTTCAGATTCCTATATTCACAGTAGGATTACGTCATTCAAAATTAGATAGCTCTAGATTCCGTTGTTTTATCACAATGGAGAAACATACATACATTTATGCAGATTTTTCATTATTTAATTTCTTCAAATATAACGCAGGACTCTAACATTTGGTAGCAACAATTTGAAAAGTGCTACGCCGTTTATAGTGATTCGATCGCAAAACAAAAACAATAGTCGTTCAGGTACAAAGCCCCTTTGGACTGGGGAAAAAAATTTTCTTCACAAGTGAGAGTCAATAAAAATTTTAAAATTCAAAAATTCATTGCAGCTGTTGCACTACAGTCTAGATTTTATATCAAGTAATTTTAAAAAATGGGTTTTAATTGGATATGAAATAGTAATATATGTGGTACATGCTGGCGCATAAAAGTTTTTGAGTGATCTTGAATGTTACTGAGTACTTTAAAAATATCAGAGAAATAAATTGAAATGAGTTTTAAATAAATATAAAACAAGGTTAATAATCATTAATAATTAAACTAATATGCTAAGATCTGTTTGCTTTCTAAAAAAATTATACTTCTGTGTTTTATATACAATCAATCAATATTAATAGTATGTTATAAAAATTACTCAGAGTATCTTATACTGCAAGAACGAATTAATCAATTTTTCTTTAATTCTGTAACTGAAAAATTTGATCTACAAATTAAGGTCTCAAAATTTATAACTACAAGCATGCAATTTTTTGGAGTACATATATAGGGGGAAGAGCTGTCTAAATAGTATCTATAAATAAATTGGGAACAGGAGACTTGCACAAAGCGGAAGGAAACATACGTTTTATTAAATATAAACCAAACAGACTAAAAGTAATTTAGAAGCAAGTTCATACTATTCTTTCATTTCATGACAAAGAAAAAATTAAATTAAAAACTTAAAAATTAATTAAATTAAAAAAATAAATATCATTATATGAACTACATATAATGAAAAAACTACAATTAGTAACTGCAATTAACAAATTTTTCATTCAAAACAAATTAGGCCTCATACTTCAGGAAATTCATCTAATGGAACTTCTTCCTCTGTGCTACCTTCTACAGAAGATTTTAAGTTCAAGTTCAAAGCAGCAAAAAACTGTTAACATAAAAATAGTCATTAAAAATTAACAATTTTTTTAAATAACCAAGACAGTACACATTTTACTATAAGGAGAATATTAAAAATATACTACATCTGAAAAATAAGTTTTTTAAAAGATTTAATAGAAATTGATTATTTTTTATAAATGTATTATGTGCAATAAAGATAAAAGTTTGAAATAAAATAATTACAATTAAGCTCTGGCTGCAGTTTTTTCTATCTTCTTAAGAAATGTTTTTTTTTTTTGCAAAATATCATTCTGAAATATTTCTATTTTTAACACAAAAATATAACTGAATATTAACTAGTATTAGTTTAATAAACTGGAACAAAATTATTTTTGAATGCAAAAGATACCCATTTCCATCAAAAAGCATAAGACAGGGTTGCCACTTCCCTGACTTTTCCAGGTGTGTTTCAAGAAAATTCCAGTCTATCCGTGTAATGTACGTTGGCTGTGCTAAGAGGTAAATTAATTATGGTATGTATTACTTGTATTGTGTAGCAAATTCACTTAATTATTCAATAAATCCCAGAGAACATTTATTCTTAATTATTCTTGGTATACTTTGTTTGATAATTTTGTTTAGTTTTCCACTTAAGAAACTTAATAAAATTTAAGATATATACATTGGATAACAAATGTATGTTTTATTTAATTATTACTTATGATCATCACCAGTTCAACACGAGGCTAATCCGGTCCTTATAAATCCCAACGCAATGCTAAATAGTTAGGTTAGATTTTAGGTAAATTTAATTTGCGTGAGGTATGTTCTTAAAAGGCACCTTAACACTTGAAAACACAAATATAATTATAATAGTTGTTGTTTTCTCCACTGAAGAATCTGAAGATTAGAATCTTCCCAATCTGGAATAAAATAAGGCTTTTTTTGCAGACATTCTGCAGCTAAACGAAAGAAAGAAATCTATTTTAATAAATTGAGGTATTTTATATTTATTTCGCAGCATACATAAGGAAAAAATATGTGCATTAAATTTCGTGATGGTATGTCATCATACTGCTATAATTAATTTCAGGATTATGCCAGAGAAAATTTCCTGAAATTTGGAAATATTATTTACTAATAATAAATAAGTTTAAGGGAAGAAGCAACATTAAATTATATGAATAACATAAATAAATACTTAAAAATTTAATTATAATAATCAACGATATTTTAGCGAATATAGTTATATTACATGGCTAGCCTAGATGACTGATTACTTTTTTTTTATTTTACTGCAAAATGGCAAGGTATTTATTAAAAAGAAAAAGAAAAAAAAAAAAAAAAAAGGTTTAAAAAGATTTTGCGGTAAAATTCTAGTATATGGTAAGGCCTTGGCACGATTTTGAAAATTGTCGCCAAGACCAAAATGACCCGTTTCGCATCATGATGTCGCCAAATCCCATTATTATTCTAACCAAAGAACGTCTATGTAAAGAAGAAAAGGTTCCATACAAGTAAAATGCTATTACGCCACTTGAATGCGGAGGGAAAATTTGCCAAGGGATTTGGCGATGGAACCTGGCGGCCAGAATTTCCCTCTCCACGATGTGTACAGGAAATTGAGAAACATGTGTTAAGAAACGCTCTTTGACAAAAAGAAAACTACGAAAATCCATTTTTAAATTATTGCGAAAAATCCAAGATGAAACGTTTTATCAAAGGGCGTTTCTTCTTGGATTTTTTGCAATAATTTTAAAAACGGATTTTCGTAGTTTTTTTTTTTTTTTTTTTTTGCGCCAAAAAATATTTCCTTTTCCTTTAGAGTTTAACCACTTGCACTAAGACTAAACTTCATGGTTGCGGTGCCGTGCGCTACAATATAACAAGCGGTAAAGTGTCTCATTTACGCCGCTCCCCATCTGCGAGTGCAATCCAGAGCTGTAACTCGAGAAATAAACAATCTCGTTGTTAGGCGACGTGTGCACCACATTATTTTCATTTTTTCGATAAATGCTTATCGACGTGGTGTTCACATTGCTCGCGGTTTGAGACAAAAGCACCTCGACGTGCATTGCACGTCTTTTTAGCGCAAGTGGTTAAAGAAATTTTAAATGATATTCATTTTATGAACTCTTGATAACGTGACCTTCGAACTTCGACACCGGTTTCAATCTTTGGCGACAGATATATCACACATGCACAGCTGTTTCCCTCTATGATGGAACGGAGCCACAGCCACGTCTGATGCAGAGAGGTTTTCCTTCTTTACACTACATATTCTTTGATTCTAACCTCCATGGTACCGTATACTAGGATTAAACCCATTTTGTTTTATACGAGAACAGGTACTTTCTTTAGTTCATGCACTGCACATGCGATTCTCGAGAATACTGGAAACCAAAAGTTGCGGGAAAGTTGTTTTGCCTTTCTAAAGACAATCAAATTGGAGCTGCGAAAATTGGCTCTATGCCAGCTACCCGAATGACACTCATGTGATACATAATTCGCGAAAAAAGTTCTCTCTTCCGACGTCGGCGCAAAAATCACTTTTTTTGGCGAGATCGTTGTATGAACTTCCCTGACTTTTCCAGATTTTGACAAAAATACTTAAATTCCCTGACTTTTCCCTGAATATTTTGGTCAATTTTCGAATTCCCTGACTTTTCCCGGTTTTCCAGGTAGCGTGGCAACCCTGATAAGAAGGAATTGCTAATGAATACTGAAATTAACTGAATTTTGAATTCTAACAAAATTTATTATCAGCATCTTGCAAACAAATAAAGCCCTTTAAAAATACTATATTATCAAGAAGAAAAATTTTGCTATGTATTATTTACCTTTTCACACAAAATAACGCATTGATAATGTGATATAAAAGCAACATATTAATATACTTTTGATTAAATGCTTTATCGCTTACTTAAAAAAAAAAAAAAAATAATATATATATATATTATATATATATATATGTATTTGAATTTCAAAGTTCAAAAAAAAATCTTACTACAAACAGTATGTATATTATGTTTTAAGGTACACATAAAAAGTTTGTTCATAACTGAATATAATAATTCAAAAAACAAAAAGAAAAAAAGATCAAGGTCGCTTAGTCACTAAATTGATTAAATCAGCTTTAGATTTTCTACAGGACTGAAGTTAGTATACTGATTAAAAATATTAAAATAATACTAATGATTTAATTAGAAATAACTAAAAAAGTTTCACTTAGTAAATAAATCTATTGATAAGCTACAAAAAATTGTGTTAAGAAATGTTACAAATTTTACCTCTGTATAGTCATCTTCCCCTTCTAACAATTCCTTATTTGGGATATTTTCCATTGCTAGCTATATGCAAGAAAATAAGACATAAAAATTAGAAAATAAAACATTTTCAGCTCATACATTTTACCAAATAGTTCTACTTATATATTAAAAATCATCTTGCAAACTAATTTTCTACAATATAAATTTTGCATATTACACAGAAAGTGTGCTGAAATGTCAGCATAAATTAAATGTAGAAGTAAGCTGAATAATTACTGGTCCATAACAAAATATATTGTATTTCCAATCTATAGTTTACTCCTAGATTTGACAGCAGCTATATGCACAAATAGGATCTATTTTGCTAATTCTGATTCTTTCATGCTTTAAATATATGTAGAACCTATATGAAATTATGAATCATATCTGCATAAACATATAAAAACTTTAAATGGATCAGTATAACACAATAAAATGTAAATAAAGCAGTTTAAATTTCAAGACTTTTGCATTGCTGGTAATATATACAGGGTGTCCCATAAGTCTGTAAATATTTAAAAATTCATAGATATTGTAGGAATTGGTAGAACTGAATGCAGTTTGCGAAAAAGCTATTGTCATGAAGGGGGAAAATTTTTTGGTAAAGGAAAAAAATAAAATAAAATTTTTGTCAATAGATGGCACCCTTTAACTGCACCAAAGCAGATGGGCTATTGCAGTACACTCTGGACTTGACATAAACCTAAAAATCAAGTGGTGTTAAGTCTGGCGAGTGAGGGGGGACACTCATTTCTACAATGATGGCTAATTAATTGATCTTCAGTTCTTACAAATACCTTCATTTCAGCTGTAATATGAGGAGGTGCCTTGTCTTGCATGAATGTCACTGTGTCAAGGACATTATATTCCAGTAAGTGCAGTATCCCCTTTTTCCTGCTGCAATTGCAAGTAGCATTTTCCAGTAACTGAGTATGTCTTCCAGCCAGCTTTTGCACAGCACCCTTCAAAGAAAATAAGGTCTCACAGTAACTGATGCACTGAAACCACACCAAACAGTTAAACGTGATGAATGTAGGGGATCCTCAGTATAGGCATGGGGGTTCTCCTTTGCCCAGATTCTATAGTTATGAGTGTTGACTGCTCTGTGCAATGAAAAATGAGCCTTATCTGTCCACAAGATATTGAGAAGCCATTGTGGATCATCATCGATTTTCGACAAAGCCCAATTTGTGAATCCATATTGCTTAGCTTTGTCATTTGATAAGAGTTGGTGGACTAATTGCAACTTGCAGGGGTACAATTTTAAAATACTATGAGGGATGTGGAATATCAATGTCTTCGGTGTACCAGTGTTCCGCGAAACTTTTCGTGTGCTAGTTGCACTCGTTGATTGTTCCCTTAGAGTAGGGGGTCTTCAACCTTTCTTGCCTGAGGGCCACATCAATAAATTCACAAAGATCCATGAGCCACGTCTGTCAAAAAGTAGTGTAGTCAGAAAAATTTTATGAAAAAGGGAGGTTTGTTTTGAAAGACTACAGTTGATTCTAAGCGAAGAGATAGTGTTACATATTTGTATATATAAACATTGGTTCTCAAAAGTCAAACAGAAATTGAATTAAAATCTTTTGCAACATTTTTAACTAAAAAAAAAGTATAAAGATGATTGTACAGAATGATGTTACAAAACACATTTACAATAAAAAAAACTTGCTTTACTGGCGGGAGCTGGTAATTACTTTAGTTTTATTGTGAAATTTGACATTGTTTTTTGCTTGATTAAAGCTTCAATATTCGGTTTAATCTGTGTTGTTGAAATTCGCAAAGTTTCCTCTAAAATGTCTGTTTGTCAGTCATGCTCTTGTTTTTGATTTTAGGATTTTCATTTTACTAAAAAGTTGTTGACATATGTAGGTACTGCCAAAGTTAGAAAACATGAAGAGTGCATGTTATCGAATTCCTGGATACTTTTCTTCGGTCACCGTACTTGGAATAAAAGTAAATTAATGCCGGATTTTCATGAAACTTGCATATTACTGCAAAGTCACACTGTAAATCTATAAATTGTTATTGAAGTTGGGGCAGAACACTTCCAACCTCTACTGAAAATGGCGACATTCTCATGAACATTTAATTTTCAAGAAAATTGGAAAATCTGCTTTTGAATTTCTCTTTAAACTTAGAAATGCATTGTACATAATTCTTTGAATTCCATGTTGTAGAGTTCTTCACACTCTCCATCAATTTTGGAAAATGAGTAGAATTCCTATTTAGCAACTGACTTTCCCACAGGATTAATTTTGTCTCAAAAGCTTTCACAAAGTAATCAAGATTATGAACAAGTAGACCTCTTCCTAGTAAGCAATAGTTGAGATGACCTGTAATATTGACAAGAAATGCAAAGTCTATTAACCATTATTCATCACTGAACTCAAGAATAGATTTATCTTTAAATTCCATGAATTGTTGAATTTTGCACTTCAAAGAAAACATTTCCCTACATTTTTCACTTTGTTTGGGTTTTCCCTATAGAAGGTATTTGGCTATGTGCCAATTAATTTTTCACAAACATGTATGGAACGGCGATTGGTTGAATTTCGAGATATATATCCCCCGATTCCAAAAATTCATCGGAATCCATCAATATCATTTTCATCTTCGTATGACTAATCAGCTGAGATATTAATTAAAAACTCTGAAAACGCTAATTTGAATTAGACCCAATAGTGACATTAGGGATTTTTTTTCCTTAGGTCTTCCTGTGTGGGTCGAATAAATTGGTGATAAAAATTATAATTTTTAATCTAATTATAGAAATTTCTCGAAATTTAGAAACTTGTGTCACACTCTGAATGATCAGAACAATGGTGGTAGAACTGTTTTTGTCACTTAATTATTTCCAGCTTAATCTTAGATGAAACAATACTTCACTTGGTATTGTTAATTCTTTGTTGACAGGTTGTGATTCGAAAGCGACAGAGGAGAGGTAAGCTAGTATCCGGTGGACCGTTGGGTTCGCGAAACGGTCGAAGTTCAGGGATTCACACAGGGATAATCATTTAAAAATTAATAACTTGACTTCTAATTAATGTACCGGCTTGAAACTAAATCAACATTTCGACTTTAGTGATATATTGAATGTTTTGTTTCGTATTTTTTAAAGATCTATTCATTCATGTTATATATTTCTGTTGTTGTTGCTTGAAAAATTGCATTTATATTTTTTACATTTTACTGTGTGCGATAACAACTATTGTTTTATCATTTTAAAGTGCTCGAATGTTCTTTATTTTTAAAAACAACCCTTTGGTCAGGTGAAAATACAAAATATCCGCTGCCTATAGGTACTGAAGAATGGCAGTATTTACTGAAATTTTACACGGAGTGTACTTTTTAAATTCACGTGGAGTTGAAACTTATTTAAGGACATCAACGCGAGCGAAGCCGCGTGTGAAGCTAGTATATATATGTATATATATGTGTGTAAGAAAAATAAGGTTTTTCTTACACACATATATATACATTTTTTTATGGTTTAGAATTTTTTATGGTGTAAATGTTATTGTCTAATAGAGTGGAAAATCTAGAAACTAAATACTATTTAGCTAATGGATACGAGGCAGTACCTAAATTTGATACAATAGGGTGGAAAGGAATACTACTTTTATGAATTTTGGGAAAAGCATATAATCTGGCACAATTCGCAACAGATGGGATAAGCAACTGTTTTAAAGTCAGCTTGAAAGGATTTGTGAAGGATTTGATCGCAGATTTTTATTTTTGACAAGTCTGAAGGTGAAGGATCTTTAGGTATCGGATTATATGGTCCTTCGTTTAAGAGTTTAGTGACACCATCGATGTAAGTGTTCTTATCCATGACTACTATCTGGCCACCTTTGTCGGTCTTTGAAATGATAATATCCGGGTTAGAAAGAATTTCGCGCATTGTAGCTCTTTCTCTCGCAGTTAGATTTGGTTTCAATAGTTTATTATTGAATTTCACATTATGAGCAATAAGATGCCTAATCATTTCTTTCTGTGAATCTGAAACTTTACTGAACTTGAAGGCTTTTTCGATAGGAGCCAAAATCTTTGGAATCAAGGGTTTACAGCAACAGAAGACTTCTGTGTTTCCTTTTGTCTAACATATGCCTCATGTTCCTTGATGCAAAATTTTAAGATTCTCTTAGTTTGGTCAATGTAAATTAAACCACACTGGCAGGGAATCCTATAAATACCCCAGGAATTCATAAGAGCTAGTTTAGAGGAGCAAACTTAAAAAGCACGGAAAACATAGGAATAAAATGAAGCTAACTTTTGTTTAGTCAGATGACATGTTTTAAAGTGTGGTGGAAGGCAAACCGATGAAGGTTTACGGTAAACTGTAGTACTGAAGTTGGATGTGTTATGTGTGACCAGAATGTCGTGAAACGGAAGAGAATTACAAGTCTCAAGTTCAAAATTGAGCTGAATAGCAGGTTCAATAGAATTCATTGTTGAAAGAACTTTATTTAAATCATCTTTATTGCTTTCAAACAGGTTGCACATATTTTGCAGAAATTTAACTTTCGGGTTGTTTATTCTCCCATCAATAAAATTCCGAGTTTCATACTCAAGGACCCCATTCCGGATATGAATTCCTGGGTTATTTATAGGATTCCTTGCCAGTGTGGTTTAATTTACATTGACCAAACTAAGAGAGCCTTAAAATTTCGCGTCAAGGAACATGAGGCACATGTTAGAAAAAAGGAAATACAGAAGTCTTCTGTTGCTCAACATTGTTGGTCCGAAAACCACACTTTCAATTTTTCTGCTGCCAAAATTATTCAAAAAACATCTTCCATTGGAGAACTGGATTTTCTAGAGGCATTTCACATTCATAAAAATCTGTGTGTTCTAGTTTATGATCCTAATTCCAATTCAAATTTGCCTTCGGCCTTTAAGGAAATTGTTTTAGTTCTGGTTTCACCAAGAAATGGCGCCACTTGCTTATTCTTGTGCAGGCTTTCTTAACTTATCTAATCGTTATTTCCTATCTTGTTGATTTGCGGTTTTGCAGCTGAGGATGGTGGTTCAGTAAAACCATCAAAACTAGTCCTGTGAAAAATTTTGTAAATATAACGCTGATTTTTGTTGTTTGACTTCTAAATTAGTATTTATCGGCGTGTTATTGTGTCTTAATTATAGAAGCTCCAAACAGGCTTACTTTTTGCTTTCTTTTTTGCACGTGGTGATTGCATGAATTTCGGTAAGTACTTTTTTTGCAATTTTCAAGTTATGTTTATGTTTTGTATATTTGGATATTGTGCTTTGCTTGTATGATTTCATGCATTTTGCTTACAAACGTTTTGTTTTCTATTCATTTCAGTGAGGGATTTTTCTGCTGTTTTGTGTGTGCTTTATTATTGCTTAGTTAATTTAGTTTGATTTTCTGCATTGTTTATCATGCCCTCACCCGTTAATCGTTTCACTAAATTACGCCTGAAACGGCAAAAATTTCTGAATCATCTTGACTTTTTACTTAAATGTAAATGTAAAAAATTGATCCCCAATTTTATTCAAATCAAATCTATTCAAAAACATTCGAGTCGCGTTTAAGAATTCTGTTAAATTGCAAGCTTGCCTTACTTCGGTCCGTCATAAGGGATACACGTCAACAATTGTCCAAAATTGAACATGAACTCTATAAGCTTCATCTGGAACTCGCTAAATCATATCCAAAATTCACTGCCCTTGAACAAAAGTCTTGGCCTAGAACGGAGAATGCAGTTAACCGTCATAAAAACACCCCCCTTGCAGTTAAATTCGAAAAAACTTCTTTTACAGTCTTCCAGTTCAAGTAGTTAAAAAAATATTCCCATTGTAAACATCAAGCCAATAGTTAATATTTATAATGTTAGTCTTTCAGAAGAACAAGAGAGAATTCTAAAATATAATTTTAACTTCTCACAAACCTGTAAATCCCTCGATTCCAAAGATTTCGGCTCCTATCGAAAAGCCTTCA